TCTCTTTAACCTTCAAGGTTATTCCAAGGTTAAACCACGGGGGTACAATTTCCTACAATCAGGACAACTCAGGGCTCCTGGGAGGCTGGCTCAGGCTGTCTTTGCCCCTGCTTCCCACCTAAGCCACCTGCATCTCTTGGCTCATGGACAGCAGTGTCATGACTGTCCTGCTGTGCTCACCACTTCCCTGGCCTTCCAAATGCCATGTCCTGGCAAAAAGAAGGTCGTGGCCTATTGCCTCTGGGCACGCCCCATCCCACTCACACTCAGGAGGAGCTGCTGGCACAGAGGCACCCATTCTAGGTGGAATGAACAGGAGTGAAGGAAGAGCACAGGAGCAGCCCTGCAGTCTGCCATGGCCCTCACTGTCAGATCAAATGAAATAGGAGTACACACGCGGTGATGACATCCTCCACATAGCATCCCTGACCAAATGATGGGCTGTTATCCATAAGTGCAGTGTGGTATATAGTTCCAATTTAAGAATCGCATACAGTATTTGCAATTTCTGATGTGCTGCTGAGTCCTTTGTAGAGTTACTTCAGATTATTTGAGTAGGTATCGTGGGTTATAACAAATAAGAGATCCAGTTTCAGTTTTTTTTCATCTGTAAAACTGAATTTCATCCATCCATCCATCCAACAAACATCACTGAGGCACTGGGAGTATACAGCAGTGAACAAAACACACAAAAAAATCTCTTCTCCATTAGAGCTTACATTCTAGTGGGTAGAAACAGAGAAAACAACAACAAAGTATTAAAGATATAATACTTGGATAAACAAATACTATGGAGGAAAAGAGCACAGAAGGGCAGGAGGGAGTGTCAGAGGAGATGGATTAATTTTAAGTGGGGTGAAAGAGAAATGCCTCAGAGAAAATTAAAAATGAGCAAAAAGATGAAACATCCACCAGAGAAGCATCCCAGTGTCTGAGGGCAAGCACCCCAAGCATGAGAACAGCAGGGCACAAGCCCTGGGCATGGCACAGCGGTGAGACCAAGTCACCCATCTTGGGTCACTTTTTAATAACAGCCACAGTCTGGGTCCCCATCAGCTCTCCCTGACTCATCTAGGGGCTTTTTTCCAACAAACCTTGAAAGCAGCACCATCAAGTTTTAAGGGTGTAAAATTTGCATGAAATTCTTGGGAAACATCCTACTGACAATGAGGGGGGAAATGAGCTGGGTATAATTTAAATTGAAATGTCATCAATTTCCACTGCATTATAAATTCAGAATATTTGTTTTATAAAGCAGAAAGTTTCATTAAGTGAGAATAATTTCAAGTAAAAGTGTTTATTTGATTTGGCTTTCCCAGTGGATGTTTGAAATAACCAGTGAAGTTAAGCCCTTATTTTTTTAAAATCCTTAATACTTCTGAGTGTAAAAGTGCCTTTCCTATTGTAGAAAATTTTAAAAAAAGTAAAAGAATAACAAAAATAAAATTAGCTTAGTACTGTATGACAGGAAAAAATATTTGTATCTTTCTAGATAAAATTTCCTTTTATTTAGAAGCTTCATTGTTTTATAATGAAAATATCTTGTTTTAATTTGCATTTTTGATTACTAGTATGAACAATTCTTCAAGTCTTTTTTTTTTTTTTTTTAAACAAGTCAAATTTATTAGAGTTGTCCACAGTCAGCAATGGTGATCTTCTTGCTGGTCTTGCCATTCTTGGACCCAAAGCCCTCCATGGCTTATACAACATTCATGTCCTCTTTCACCTTGCCAAAAACCACATGCTTGCCATCCAACCATTCAGTCTTAGTAGTGCAGATGAAAAACTGGAAACCATTTGTGTTGGGTCCAGCATTTGCCATGGACAAGATGCCAGGACCTGTATGCTTCAAGATGAAGTTCTCATCATCAAATTTCTCCCCATAGATGGACTTGCCGCCAGTGCCGTTATGGCGTGTAAAGTCACCACCCTGGCACATAAACTCTGGAATAATTCTGTGAAAGCAGGAACCCTTATAACCGAATCCTTTCTCTCCAGTGCTCAGAGCACAAAAGTTTTCTGCTGTCTTTGGAACTTTGTCTGCAAACAGCTCGAAGGAGACGTGGCCCAAGGGCTCGCCGTTGATGGCGATGTCGAAGAACACGGTGGGGATGACCATGGCTGATGGGAAAAGGCTCAAGGCGGCGGCGTCTGCAAAGCCTCAAGTCATTTAATGGTCAACTTTCATTGACCAACTTTTGGCACCTTAGATTTTTCTTATTGATTTGATAAACTTTTTTATTATAAGAAAAATACCAATCTATTTCCTGTCACATTTATATCAAATTTTTTTCCAAGTTTATCTCCTATAGTTTTTGCATATTTTTATGTTCAGAGTTTACAATTTTATAGTCATACATATTCATTTTTAATGCTAAAACATGCTTATTTCCAACAATCTTCATTATTGAGGGTCCTTCCAAATAATACTGGAAATTCTTTTCCACAGGAGTCTAACTCCATAACATACAGTTAAAACCCACAACAATGCGGCAAGCAGGGTCTATGTTTTTAGTCAAGTAAAGTGCAGTGTTAATGCAAGGCTGTTGAAGTGATGGCAGCAGGCCTGAGCAGCTGGGCATTGTGGGGTGTGGTTGGGAGAACCAAGTCCTTCTGGGTCCCAGTTGTGGTCTGGCATCATCTAGTCACATTTGCCAGATCTCAAACATCAGTGGGGCAAGGGATGAGAGGAGTCCTGCAACCCCTGGGATTCGCAGGACAGCAACAGTGATTCCAGAATCTCTAGTGCCCGACTTTTCCAGTCCCCTCTTGGACAATGGTGGGGGGAGTACTTGGGACACGAGACCCCCTCCCTGCCTCCCTGGTCCTTCCTTCTGGCCCAGCCTCCCGCCTCCTCCTCCTGGTTACTCCCCTTCCTTGCTCTTGGTAAGGTGAGTCTCCTATGTACTCATAGAAGAGTTGCCTTAATACACACCTTAGATTTTCTCGGTAGGGGACAGTTGACAACTGCTGCGACTTCATGTCCAGTTATTTGGGACAAAATAGTGAACACATTTTAGAAGATTTATTGTATTTGTTAGAATGGTGAGAAGGAGGTCCCTGAGGCCTGCAGAATTCTCATTACTTAAGATGCAAATATTGAAAATAATCAGGAATAATTAGGGAGTTGCTTTTTAAATACAACATTTCTTCATATCACCTTTTTATTTTTTGAGTCAGAGTCTCACTCCATTGCCCAGGCTGGAGTGCAGTGGCATGCCCACAGCCACCCCAGTGTCAACCTGCAGAGCTCAGGCGATCCTTCCACCTCAGCCTTCCAAGCAGCAAGAACTACAGGCACACACTACCGTGTCTGGCTAATTTTTTGTAAAGATGAGGTCTCATGAAGTTGCCTGGGGTGGTCTTGAACCCATGGGCTCAGCAATCCCCTCACCTCAGCCTCCCAAAGTGCTGGGATTACGGGCTTGAGCCACTGCTCCTGCCTACTCTAAAATTTTTGAATATTGGATATTAACTTCGAATCATGGGTCACACAAGTGATGGGAGAGCTGGGGTTTCAATCGGGAGAAGATGGGGCAACTCGGAGGTCCACAGCGGCAGCAAGAGGTCACCTTCCTAGGGCTGAGGGGCAAGTGCTATCTCCGCATCCCAAAAGCCTTGTCTTACATCTGATCAGGGCGGAACCAAGGTGGAGGCTGCCTGACAAACTCTGGGACCAGAGGAAATGGGACGTTGGAGACACCACCCAAGAGCAAGAGAGAAACGCTGGGCTCTCCCCTTTCTGCAGCCCTTCATTCTGCCCGCACCTCCCACTGGGCAATCCCAGGCACGTGGCAAGGGATCCTGGGATTTAGGGGTGGCCCCACCATTCAGGATTAAAGAAGGACCTGAGAGCCATTGGGCAGATGGCCAGCAGAGGCAGGATAAGGGGCTGTAGCTGTGTTAGGACAGGCATTTACTTCTGGGGCATGGGAGAGGTAAGGGTCCTCAACCATATTGATAACCCTGTTCCTGAATAATTTAAGAGGCTTGGTGCCCATATGACAAACGTGAGCACATGTGGCATGTGCAAGGTTGGTGGCCAGACACTGGCCTGTTCTCCATATACCTGGCATAGTTCATAAGAAATTATCACTGAAGAAACGTTCCAGATGAACAGCAACAGTAAGCCCTTTTGTCAGACTCATCCCTGCTTTCCACCTCTCTCTCCATGAACGGTGTCACCTTCATAGGGTTTGCACACTGGCGTGATGGTGTAGGGGAACCCAAAAAACCCGGAATCACCTTTTGGAGGAGAGGTCCCTTGTAGTCCAGGCTTCCCCACTGGTGAGTGTTGTAGGAATCCATCGGCATCCACATACCAGCTAGTGTTGTGAGCAGCTGTGTTTCCACACTTCTGAGTGTTCAACAGTTTTTGACCAAAAATAGTATGACCCCAGTGCCCCACCCTCCCTAGTCACCCCATCTCAACCTGAGTGCCTTTTTGCTTCCTGGATGAAAAAAGTCCTCAGAGGGAAATGCCTTGCCAATGTCGAAGAGGTGAAATCAAAAACAGAAGCACCGAAAGGCATCAAAATGGACAAGTTCAAAAACAGTTTGGAGCAGTGGAGAAAGCGTCTCAATGGGGTATTGCATCAAATGGAGAGGACGTTGAAGGTGACTGAAGTGTAAACACGTAAGAATACATAATTTTTAACAAATAAATTCCAGGTTTTTGGGTCCCCTTGTATTAAAGGCATGATAAGAGAACAAGACAGAAAAAGTCAAGAAAGGCAAAGAAAGTGGGTGACAGACCAGCACTGGAGGAAGAGGATGGCCATCGCTGCGCCCTCCCCACGCCTGTCTGCCTGTGAGCCTCTGTTACAGTCGCCACTCCCTGCCTGGGTGGCCTTGGTAAGTGCCCCCACATCCTCTTCTGTAAATGTGGATGAAACAATGATAAGAGTACCCCCCTCAAGTGTTGTTTTGAGGGTTCGATAATTTTATCCACACAAAAATCCCTCAAATTGTGTGGGCACACAGTAAACTCTCAATACATATTGGTTATTATTTTTTAATTCTTTTTATCTTTGCATCCTCAGTATTAGAGTTTCTAATGTTTAAAAAACATTTACTCAGATCAAACAAGTGAAAGTAACAATTGCATTTGCTTATTTGAGCCATGCTTTCTGTGATAGCCCTACCTGATTGAACACACTCTCTAGATACAACACTGCTTGGATTCTGGGCCAGGCTCAGTACAGTTTCAGATAATCTTGACTAAAATAGGACCCGGGCGGAGAGAATCACGCTTCAGTGAAGAAAGAGAAGCTGCCAGGTGATCTCACCATGAGATTCAGCTTCAATATTCCGCGTCAAAGGGATAGTTGTCCAGGTGGGATGAGCTGCAGAACAAATAAGCATCAGGGTTTCCACAGCAGCAGCAACTCTGGCTGAAAAGGCATCCTCCAGAGAACTCTGTGGTCTCTGAGCCCTCTCAGGTCCCCTCCCCCAAGACTTTGTAGGAATGCAGGAAGGGTGTGCATACCTCGACCTCGCCTTCAATTAGCATGAGGCCCTGCTGGTAAGGAAGGCAGACAAGGAGTGGCCAGAGTACCAAATAAATAGGTGACCACAGCCCAGGGTAAGCCTGGTGCCATGCTAGATGCCTGTGAGGATTGTCTCAACCTGCCTCACAAGGTTGTGAGGTGGGAAATCACAGGAGAATCGACGGTCTGGAAGATGGTTACTAAATGAGTTAATAACACAGGCAGAAGGCTCCGGACACTGGCACAGTCAACGGATGTTAGCTGCAATCAGCATCATCTCTCCTTTGCAAATAAAGAAACTTCCTGTCCTGCGAAAGACAGTAAGTTTCCCCAAGGACACAGAGCTCATCAGGAAGGGGTGAGCTGGATCTAAAGCCAGGTAGATTCCCTCCTGAGCCCACCCATTCATGGTCACCCCTGGAGTGACATTCCCCAGAGGAGAAGCAGCTTAGTTTGGGAGAGAGTCCCATACTGTGCTTGCCATTCCCTTTTATTCTAAGTAGCTGCTGCTTTGTTGACCTTGGATAAAAGCAAACCACTGTAAGGTGAGGCAAGACTGTCCTGGTATACTAAGTGGAGGCAACACGGATATGGAACATCATGATATGGATATTTCCAGGCATGCTGGAGATAGTAAAACCATTTTTTAAAAGGGAAAAGCCATGTTTTGTCTTTAAAAATATCAGAAGAAATTCAAACTACCACTGAATTATGAACCTGGCAGTAATAAATGCCAAAAGTCACCTTCCCAAAGACAACTATCTGTGATATCTTTAGATTCATTCATCAGAAGATATTGATGGGAAAGAGATCATTTAGAATGATCACCCAGCCAGAGTGAGCATTTTTTCTCAAATACTTATAAGAGTTTAAATAATTTAAGGTAAAGTTACTCCCACCTCCTTTAGAGGCATTTGATTAAGAATGCCAGGAACAAGCCAGGCTCGGTGGCTCAGCCTATAATCCTGCGCTTTTGGGAGGCTGAGGTGAGTGGACTGCCTGAGCCCGTGGGTTCGAGACCCTCCTGGGCAACTTGGCA